GTTGTCACTGTTGTCACCGTTGTCACTGTTGTCACTGTTGTCACCGTTTTCACCTTTGTCACCGTTGTCTTCGTTGTCACCATTGTCACCGTTGTCACAGTTGTCACTCTTGTCACCGTTGTCATCGTTGTCACTGTTGTCACTGTTGTCGCAATTGTCACTGCTGACGCCGTTGTCACCGTAGTCACCGTTGTCACTGTTGTCACTGTTGTCACTGTTGTCATCGTTGTCACTGTTGTCATGGTTGTCACCGTTGTCACTGTTGTCACCGTTGTCACTGTTCTCACTGTTGACACCGTTGTCACGGTTGTCACGGTTGTCTCTGTTGTTACCGTCAACACCGTTGTTACTGTTGTCACCTTTGTCACCATTGAAACAGTTGTCACCGTTGTTACTGTTCTCACTGTTGTCACCGTTGTTACCGTTGTCACCACTGTCACCGTTTTCACTGTTGTCACTGTTGTCACAGTTGTCTTTGTCGTTAGTGTTGTCAATGCTGTCACTGGTGGCACTCCTGTCACTGTTGGCACTGAAGTCAAGGATGCCACCGTTGTCATCATTGTCACCATCGTCAGCGTCATCACCGTCGTCACCGTTGTCACCGTTGTTACCGTTGTCACCGTTGTCACTGTGGTCACTGCTGCCACTGTTGGCACTGCTGATACTGTTGGCATTATTGTCACCAAGGCCCCCTTGTCACCATTGTCACCGTTGTCACCGTTGACACCGTTGTCACCGTTGTCATTGTTGTCACGGTTGTCACCGTTGTCACTGTTGTCACCGTTGTCACCGTTGCCTCTGTTGTCTTCGTTGTCACTGTTGTCACAGTTGTCACAGTTGTCACCGTTGTCACCGTTGTCACCGTTGTCACCGTTGTCACTGTTTTCATCGTTTTTACCGTTGTCACTGTTGTCACTGTTGTCACCGTTGTCACCGTTGTCACTGTTGCCACCGTTGTCACCGTTGTCACTGTTCTCACCGTTGTCACCGTTGTCACCGTTCTAACCGTTGTCACTATTGTCACTGTTGTCACTGTTGTCACCGTTGTCACTGTTGTCACCTTTTTTTGTCACTGTTGTCACTGTTGTCACCGTTGTCACCGTTGTCACCGTTGTCACTGTTGTCACTGTTGTCACGATTGTCACCGTTTTCAAAGTTGCCACCTTTGTCACTGTTGTCCTTGTTGTTTACCGTTGTCACCGTTGTCACCGTTTTAACCGTTGTCACTGTTGTCACCGTTGTCACCATTGCCTCTGTTGTCTTCGTCGACACTGTTGTCACAGTTGTCACCGTTGTCACCGTTCTCACTGTTCTCCTCGTCGTCATTGTTGTCACTGCTGTCACTGTTGGCACTGCTGTCACTGTTGCACTGTTTTCACTGTTGTCGATGTTGTCACTGTTGTCACCGTTGTCAAGGTTGTCACTGTATTCACCGTTGTCACCGTTGTCACTGTTTTCACCGTTGTCACCGTTGTCACTGTTGTCACCGTTGTTACTGTTGTCACTGTTGTCACCGTTGTCACTGTTGCGCCGTTGTCACCGTTGTCACTGTTGTCAATGTTTTCATTGTTGGCACTGCTGTCACTGTTAACACTGTTTTCACCGTTGTCACTGTTGTCACTGTTGTCATTGATGTCCCTGTTGTCACTGTTGTCACCGTTGTCACCGTTGTCACTGTTGTCACTGTTGTCACGATTGTCACCGTTTTCAAAGTTGCCACCTTTGTCACTGTTGTCCTTGTTGTTTACCGTTCTCACCGTTTTAACCGTTGTCACTGATGTCACTGTTATCACCGTTGTCACTGTTGTCACTGTTGTCACCATTGCCTCTGTTGTCTTCGTCGACACTGTTGTCACAGTTGTCACAGTTGTCACCGTTGTCACCGTTCTCACTGTTGTCCTCGTCGTCATTGTTGTCACTGCTGTCACTGTTGGCACTGCTGTCACTGTTGCACTTTTTTCACTGTTGTCGATGTTGTCACTGTTGTCACCGTTGTCAAGGTTGTCACTGTATTCACCGTTGTCACCGTTGTCACTGTTGTCACCGTTGTCAACGTTGTCACTGTTGTCACCGTTGTCACTGTTCTCACTGTTGTCACCGTTGTCACTGTTGCGCCGTTGTCACCGTTGTCACTGTTGTCAATGTTTTCATTGTTGGCACTGCTGTCACTGTTAGCACTGTTTTCACCGTTTTCACTGTTGTCACTGTTGTCATTGATGTCCCTGTTGTCACTGTTGTCACCGTTGTCACCGTTGTCACCGTTCTCACCGTTGTCACTGTTGTCACTGTTGCCACTGTTGTCACGGTTGTCACCGTTGTCACTGTTATCACCGTTGTCAGTGTCGTCACCATTGTCACCGTTGTCACAGTTATCACTGTTGTCACCGTTGTCATCGTTGTCACTGTTGTCACTGTTGTCACCGTTGTCACCGTTGTCACCGTTGTCACTGTTGTCACTGTTGTCACGATTGTCACCGTTTTCAAAGTTGCCACCTTTGTCACTGTTGTCCTTGTTGTTTACCGTTGTCACCGTTTTAACCGTTGTCACTGATGTCACTGTTATCACCGTTGTCACTGTTGTCACTGTTGTCACCATTGCCTCTGTTGTCTTCGTCGACACTGTTGTCACAGTTGTCACAGTTGTCACCGTTGTCACCGTTCTCACTGTTGTCCTCGTCGTCATTGTAGTCACTGCTGTCACTGTTGGCACTGCTGTCACTGTTGCACTGTTTTCACTGTTGTCGATGTTGCCACTGTTGTCACCGTTGTCAAGGTTGTCACTGTATTCACCGTTGTCACCGTTGTCACTGTTGTCACCGTTGTCAACGTTGTCACTGTTGTCACCGTTGTCACTGTTCTCACTGTTGTCACCGTTGTCACTGTTGCGCCGTTGTCACCGTTGTCACTGTTGTCAATGTTTTCATTGTTGGCACTGCTGTCACTGTTAGCACTGTTTTCACCGTTTTCTCTGTTGTCACTGTTGTCATTGATGTCCCTGTTGTCACTGTTGTCACCGTTGTCACCGTTGTCACCGTTCTCACCGTTGTCACTGTTGTCACTGTTGCCACTGTTGTCACAGTTGTCACCGTTGTCACTGTTGTCACCGTTGTCAGTGTCGTCACCATTGTCACCGTTGTCACAGTTGTCACTGTTGTCACCGTTGTCATCGTTGTCACTGTTGTCACTGTTGTCACCGTTGTCACCGTTGTCACCGTTGTCACTGTTGTCACTGTTGTCACGATTGTCACCGTTTTCAAAGTTGCCACCTTTGTCACTGTTGTCCTTGTTGTTTACCGTTGTCACCGTTTTAACCGTTGTCACTGATGTCACTGTTATCACCGTTGTCACTGTTGTCACTGTTGTCACCATTGCCTCTGTTGTCTTCGTCGACACTGTTGTCACAGTTGTCACAGTTGTCACCGTTGTCACCGTTCTCACTGTTGTCCTCGTCGTCATTGTAGTCACTGCTGTCACTGTTGGCACTGCTGTCACTGTTGCACTTTTTTCACTGTTGTCGATGTTGCCACTGTTGTCACCGTTGTCAAGGTTGTCACTGTATTCACCGTTGTCACCGTTGTCACTGTTGTCACCGTTGTCACTGTTGTCACTATTGTCACCGTTGTCACTGATGTCACCGTTGTCACTTTTTTCACTGTTGTGATTGTTGTCACCGTTGTCACCTATGTCACTGTTTTCACCATTGTCACTGTTGTCACCGTTGTCACCGTTGTCACCGTTGTCACCGTTGTCACTGTTGTCACTGTTGTCACGGTTGTCACCAGTGTCACTGTGTTCATCGTTGTCTTTGTTGTCATTGTTGTCACCAGTGTCACTGTTGTCACTGTAGTCACTGTTGTTACCGTTGCCACCTGTGTCACTGTTGTCTTTTTTGTTTACCGTTCTCACCGTTGTCACCGTTCTAACCGTTGTCACTGTTGTCACGGTTGTCACCATTGTCACTGTTGCCACCGTTGTCACTGTCGTCACCTTTGTCACTGTTGTCACCGTTGTCACTGTTGTCACTGTTCTCACCATTGTCAGCGTTGACACTGTTTTTACCCTTGTCACCGTTGTCACTCTTGTCACCGTTGTCACTGTTGTCACGGTTGTCACCGTTGTCACCTTTGTCACTGTTGTCTTCGTTGTTACCATTGTCACCGTTGTCACAGTTTTCACTCTTGTCACCGTTTTCATAGTTGTCACTGTTGTCACTGTTGTCACCGTTGTCACCGTTGTCACCGTTGTCACCGTTGTCACCGTTGTCACTGTTGTTACTGTTGTCATTGTTGTCACCGTTGTCGCTGCTGTCAACGTGGTAACTGTTGTCACTGTTGTCACCGTTATCACCGTTGTCACCATTGTCACCGTTGTCATTGTTGTCGCTGTGTTGCTGTTGTAACCGTTTTCACCGTTTTCACTGTTGTCTTCGTCGTCACTGTTGTCACTGCTGTCACTGTTGGCACTGCTGTCACTTTTGGCACTGTTGTCACTGTTGTCACTGTTGTCAACGATGTCACTGTTTTCACCGTTGTCACCCTTGTCACCGTTGTCACTATTGTCACCGTTGTCACCGTTGTCACTATTGTCACTGTTGTCACCGTTCTCACTGTTGTCACTGTCGTCACCGTTGTCGCAGTTGTCACGGTTCTCTCTGTTGTTACCGTTAACACTGTTGTTACTCTTCTAACCTTTCTCAGCATTGAAACAGTTGTCATCGTTGTTACTGTTCTCACTGTTGTCACCGTTTTAACCATTGTCACCGTTTTCACTGTTTTTACCGTTGTCACCGTTGTCTCTCTTGTCATCGTTGTCACTGTTGTTACGGTTTTCACCATTGTCACCTTTGTCACTGTTGTCTTCGTTCTTACCATTGTCACCGTTGTCACAGTTGTCACTCTTGCCACCGTTGTTATAGTTGTCACTGTTGTCACTGTTGTCACCGTTGTCATCGTTGTCACCGTTGACACAGTTGTCACCGTTGTCACTGTTGTCACTGTTGTCACCGTTGTCACTGTTGTCACCGTTGTCACTGTTGTCACCGCTGTCGCGGATGTTACGGTTCTCTCTGTTGTTACCGTTAACACTGTTTTTACTGTTGTCACCCTTCTCAGCATTGAAACAGTTGTCACCGTTGTTACTGTTCTCACTGTTGTCACCGTTTTTACCATTGTCACCGTTGTCAGTGTTTTTACCGTTGTCACCGTTGTACCTGTTTTTACCGTTGTCACTGTTGTCACGGTTGTCACCGTTGTCACCTTTGTCACTGTTGTCTTCGTTGTTACCATTGTCACCGTTGTCACAGTTGTCACTCTTATCAGCGTTGTCACCGTTGTCACCGTTGTCACCGTTGTCACTGTTGTCATTGTTGTTACCGTTGTCGCTGCTGTCAACGTTGTCACTGTTGTCACTGTTGTCACCGTTGTCACCGTTCTCACCATTGTCACTGTTGTCACTGTTGTCACCGTTGTCACCTTTGTCACAGTTGTATCTTCCTTCCTGTTGTCACTGTTTTCTTCGTCGTCACTGTTGGCACTGCTGTCCCTTTTGGCACTGTTGTCACCGTTTTTACCGTTGTCACTGAATTCACCGTTTTCACCGTTGTCACCGTTGTCACCGTTGTCACTGTTGTCACCGTTGTCACCGTTGTCACCGTTGTCACCGTTGTCACTGTTGTCACTGTTGTCACCGTTGTCACCGTTGTCACCGTTGTCACCGTTGTCACTGTTGTCACTGTTGTCACGGTTACCTCTGTTGTTACCCTTAACACTGTTGTTACTGTTGTCACCTTTGTCAGCATTGAAAAAGTTGTCACCGTTGTTACTGTTCTCACTGTTGTCACCGTTATTACCGTTGTTACCATTGTCACTGTTGTCACTGTTGTCACTGTTGTCTTTGTCGTTACTGTTGTCAATGCTGTCACTGGTGGCACTGCTGTCACTTTTTGCACTGTTGTCAAGGATGTCACAGTTGTCATTGTTGTCACTATCGTCACCGTCGTCACCGTTGTCATTGATGTCACTGCTGTCAATGTTGACACTTCTGTTACTCTTGGCACTATTGTCACCAAGGCCCCCTTGTCACCGTTGTCACCGTTGTTCCTGTTGTCACCGTTGTCACCGTTGTCACTGTTGTTACTGTTGTCACCGTTGTCACAGTTGTCACTGTTGTCACATTTGTCCTCGGTTTCACTGTTGTCACTGTTGTCACCGTTGTCACCGTTGTCACCGTCCTCACTGTTGTCACTGTTGTCACGGTTGTCACCAGTGTCACTGTGTTCACCGTTGTCTTTGTTGTCATTGTTGTCACCAGTGTCACTGTTGTCACTGTTGTTACCGTTGCCACCTGTGTCACTGTTGTCTTTTTTGTTTACCGTTGTCACCGTTCTAACCCTTGTCACTGTTGTCACTGTTGTCACCGTTGTCACCGTTGTCATGGTTGTCACGGTTGTCACTGTTGTCACCGTTCTCACTGTTGTCAC